CCGGTGGAGAGGAAGGGTCTGGTCATGTGTAGTAGGATCCAACCGGCTGCAAACAAATGTCTCCCAACCCCTCGCCTCAAAGTTCAAGGACTTCCGCAATATTTTGACCCCAGCAGTCAACCAATCAGGAACGGTACCTGGGATTGCCAGGTACTGAGCTAACCATGGACGGACCTCCTCGCCCATCTCTAATTTCGCCATGTACAAAGCTTCATCCTCCTCATTGAAGCCCAAGTATTCGTTGAGGTATTTCCCATCAAACAACACTGTCTTGTTGCGAACCTTGGTCACTTTCGAGCCCTTTTTGATGTGGGCTACATTGCAATAGAACTCTTTGACCATGTGTTCGTTGGCGTCCACACAGTCATCTAAAAACTACTCCCAACCCACTCTAGTTCTGAACTGTCTCTGCACGTCAGGGTTGTGGGGTAAGAGATCTCTGTCAGTAAAACTCCGCTCCGGTATCAACTTTCTCACCGGCCACCACTCCCTAAATTTGTGGTACGCTACCTCACTTACGAACCTATCTCGCCAAACCTCCGGCTTTCTAGTTCGGGCAATGCCTCCCACCTGAGGCTCACCATCCTCAGCTATCTCCTCATCCCCTTGTACCTCCTCCTCACCTCTGTCTGCACTCTCCCCGGATAATGAAGCTGTGGGGGAGGTGGAGTATTCACCACTGCCGGCTGCTGAGCCCTCAGACGACTCAGTGGGAACATGCTCTGGTGCTTGGGCAGTGGGTGATGGTAGAGGGGTATCTCTTAGCCTGAATCTCTCCGGCCAGTCTTCAACATATTCTGGCACGGAGTCTGACGAAATATCCCTTGACGGCTGGTACTCACTCCCCGAGGAATGGGAAGCAGCTCTGTCTGCAGCTTTTATTAGCTTCGTGGTCTTTTTTATGTTTTCCCGAGCTTGGGGAGTGAGTTTGATCATCTTCTTTCCTTTGCCCCCCGGGAGGATTCACCTTTCCCGGGTTGTTTTGATCATTTTCCTCCTCGTTGTTTAACCATTGTCTGCAAACACAATTCAAATCACTTGTTAGTATCAGTGGGTTAACATAAAATAGTGTTGCAGACAACTGAAAATGTTGTAGAAGTGGCCAAGTGCGGACCGCATAAAATGGTAGTGCGGCCGCACTGAGGCCATCGCGGACCTCACAAAAATGACCGCGGTCCGCACATAGGTGGGGGTCAGACTACCCACTCTCTGTATTCAGGCAGTGCGGACCGCACAAAATGTACCGTGGCCGCACTGCCCAAAGTTCAGATGTTCAGCTTCCACCATCGCGGTCCACACAAAATGGTATCGCGGACCGCACTGGGACACCGCGGACCGCACAGAATTGACCGCGGTCCGCACAGGGTGCCCAATTTTGGCACTAAATTAGGGTTCATCAGATTTTGCAATTAAGGTCAATTTGGTCCCTAATTTATGTCCCTAAATGTTTAGCCAGTCTATTGAACTAACAAGGTAGAGAAAAATCAAAAAGCTAACTAACCTAACCTAACAATTTAAGAAAATACGGGAGAAGGAGAAAATAAGAACTAAGAAAAATGAAAATTAACTAAAATTGACAAAATTAACAAGTGAAAAGGAAGATTGATGTACCAGGTATTGAGGTCAAAAAGCTAACTAACCTAACCTAACAATTTAAGAAAATACGGGAGAAAGAGAAAATAAGAACTAAGAAAAATGAAAATTAACTAAAATTGACAAAATTAACAAGTGAAAAGGAAGATTGATGTACCAGGTATTGAGGTGAATTGAATCAAAGCAAAGCAAGCAAGAAATTACGATCAAAGGAGAGGATGAACAGTGTTTAATTACTCCGAGGTTCAAATTCGCGAAAAGGGCAAAAGGAGGCCCTCAGGGTCTATTTATAGAAAAAACCCTGGGGCCCATTTTCACCTACCAGTGCGTACCGCACAAAATGGACCGCGGTCCGCACTGGGCTATTTTATCCCAGTTTAACTCAGTAACCCACCGCGGTCCGCATAAAATGGAGCGCGACCGCGGTGGTCCACCGCGGTCCGCACCAAATCAACTACGGACGTGGTGGAAAACTTCAGAGAGCAATTGTTGTCACCCTTTACCAGTGCGGACCGCATAAAATGGTAGTGCGACCGCACTGGAAACTCCAGAGACCTGTGCAATTTTTTTGTTATGTCCTGTACTGCATCAACTCAATCCTGTAACATCTCACAACCAGTTAGCCCGAAAATCAATCCTATACTACAAAGAAAATCAAAGGAAACAAAAATAAAAACACATGGGTTGCCTCCCAAGAAGCGCCTGATTTAACGTCATCGCTCGACGCATGTTACTATCCAATCATTTGAAATGAACAACAGCCACCACATGGATATCATCAAACTTCCCAAGATAATGCTTGACACGGTGCCCATTCACTCTAAAGACTTCACCATTTTTGTTTTTCAAATCAAGAGCACCAAAAGGGGTCACCAACACAACTTCAAATAGTCCACTCCATTTTGATTTAAGCTTTCCCGGAAACAGACGTAACCGAGAATTGTACAAGAGAACCAAATCACCAACCTTGAACTCCTTTCCACGAGCATATTTATCATGAAGGTACTTCATCTTGTCCTTATACAAGGACGAACTAGAGTAGGCATGGAACCGGAATTCATCAAGTTCATTGAGTTGTTCAACACGAAGATTGGCCACAACATCGCACTCAAGATTAAGCTTCCTCAAAGCCCACATGGCGTTATGCTCCAACTCCACTGGTAAATGACATGCTTTCCCAAACACCAACCGGTACGGCGACATACCAATTGGGGTCTTGTAAGCGATCCGGTAAGCCCATAGAGCATCATCTAACTTTTCAGACCAATCGGTCCTATTGGCATTGACGGTCTTGGACAAAATGCTCTTGATCTACCTGTTAGACACTTCCACCTGGCCACTTCTTGAGGATGATAAGGCGTAGACACTTTGTGGTTGACACCATACTTGGAAAGCAAGGCATCAAAAACTCTATTACAAAAATGCGATCCTCCATCACTAATAATTGCCCGAGGTGTACCAAACCTTGTGAAAATACTCTTCTTCAGAAATGCCACCACACTCCTAGCTTTATTATTGGGCAAGGCCACGGCCTCAACCTATTTTGAGACATAATCAACCGCCACAAGAATGTAGGTGTTTCCACACGAGCTTACAAAAGGGCCCATAAAATTGATACCCCATACATCAAAGACATCAACTTCAAGAATGGTGTTTAGAGGCATCTCATCTTTCTTGGAAATCCTGCCCACTCGTTGACATTGATCACATCTTTTTACTAGATCACTTGCATCTTTGAACAAGGTTGGCCAATAAAAACCATAACTCAGAACTTTCGAAGCCGTCCTCGCTCCTCCATGATGGCCACCATAGGGGAAGGAATGACAAGCCTCTAGAATGCTAAATTGCTCCTCCTCAGGTACACACCTCCGGATGACTCCGTCGGTGCAAATCTTGAACAAGTATGGCTCGTCCCAATAGAAGTCCAAACTATCCCGTTTGAGCTTCTTCCTTTGGTTAGAAGAGAGTTCACACGGGATGATGCCAGTCACAAGGAAATTAGCAATGTCCGCAATCCATGGCATATCACACATCGACACAGAAAGTAGTTGCTCATCGGGGAATGTGTCATTGATCTCTAGGCCATCACACGGCCTACCTTCCTCCTCCAAGCGGAGCAAATGATCCGCCACTTGGTTTTCACTACCTCTACGGTCCACTATCTCCAAATCAAACTCTTGAAGAAGTAACACCCATCGCATCAACCTTGCCTTGGAGTCTTTCTTTGTCATGAAATACCTAAGGGCGGCATGATCGGTGTGCACTATGACTTTGGCTCCCATAAGATATGGCCGAAATTTTTCCATGGCGAACACAATAGCCAACAATTCCTTCTCCGTCATCATGTAGTTCCTTTGAGCTTCATTTATAGTCTTGCTTGCATAGTACACGGGATGAAACATTTTGTTCACTTTTTTACCCAACACAACCCCAACCGCAACATCACTTGCATCGCACATGATCTCGAAAGGCAAACTCCAATTTGGAGCGGTAATGATCGGGGTGGTAGTCAACTTATGCGTAAGGAGTCCAAAGGCCTCCATGCATTTCTCATCAAACACAAACTTATCATCTTTCTCTAGCAACTTGCAAAGAGGATTCACTACCTTCGAAAAATCCTTGATAAATCGCCGGTAGAACCCTGCATGCCCAAGAAAACTCCTCACCCCCTTGACAGAAGTGGGGGGAGGAAGCCTTGAAATCACCTCAATCTTGGCTTTGTCTACTTCAATCCCATGCTTAGAAATTTTGTGGCCCAACACTATGCCCTCTTCAACCATGAAGTGGCATTTTTCCCAATTAAGAACGAGATTTATGTCTTCACATCGGGCCAAGACTCTATCCAAATTTCTCAAACACTCTTCAAATGAATCACGAACCACACTAAAATCATCCATAAAGACTTCCAAAATATCTTCCACCATGTCGGTGAAAATAGCCATCATGCATAGTTGGAAGGTCGCCGGAGCATTGCACAACCCGAACGGGATCCGAGAAAAAGCAAATGTACCATATGGGCAGGTGAATGTGGTCTTCTCTTGGTCCTCCGGAGCAATTAAGATTTGATTATAACCCGAATATCCATCCAAAAAGCAATAAAAGGCTCGCCCCGCAAGGCGATCAAGCATTTGGTCAAGGAATGGCAAAGGAAAATGATCCTTGCGGGTCACCTTGTTTAGCTTCCAGTAGTCCATGCATACCCGCCATCCGATAACCGTCCGAGTGGGAATAAGTTCATTGTTNAAAGAAAAATGGACTCGAACCCTTAAGAAGGTTGTCACGCCATCCATCATTGGGAAGAGCCACCCGGTTCATACAACATTCCAACTTTGGAAAGAACCGTGGCATTAAGAAAACCAAAGGTTTATTGAAAACTCCGAAAACAAGAAGCTACGAATCACAAATAAGAAGCTAAAAACGAAAAATTTTGTGGAAAACAGAATAAATATATACAAGAGGGGATTTGAATATACAAGGGGGGATGAATATACACAATATGATGTAACTTTATATACAGACCAAAAGTGAAATAAAAGTGCGATAATATCAAATTATATACAGACCAAATGTGAAAAGTCAAGAAAGCATAAAAATATCAATATATACAGTCATCAAAATGTAGGGCTCACCCCCTCAAATGAAAGCTGGCATTGTCCCCAATGCCAACTAGTCTAAATAAGCACCAAAATTATAGAAAAAGGATATAGAAGGCTCCCTAAGCCGTGTCTGTCTGCATAGGAACATGGGTGGTCCCTGTGTCCTATGTGTGATCGGGAACCTCAGACTGGTTCCCAGTGGTTTGCTCTGCTACTACTGGGACCTGGGCCTCGACCTGGACAGGCTCTGGAACTGGTACATCCTGTGGCTGACTGGAGGAAGCCTCCGGTGGGTCCGCCAACTGGATGATGGCATCATCTGCTCTAGGGATCGTCCTCCTCCTCTTCGGAGGCCTCTGGGTCTGCTCCGGCTGTGGATGAGCTGCGGGACTGGATCATCAAGCAACAGGTCCAAAGGTAGCTGGTCTGCCTTCAATCTATCAACATCTGCCCGCAGCTCCTTCACGGACTCCTTGGAGGCTCGTGTCTTCCGCAACTTCCTATGCTCCTTAGCAAGCTCCTTGAGAGCCTTGCTATGTGAATCCACTGCCTTTGAGAGCGCAGCCTGAGTGGTGAGGATCTTCTTCTGGTTCTCAAGTATCTCTTTGAGCGTATCCTCGATCGACTGGGGGTACCTGTGGGGCTGGGGGAGCTGACTGAGCCGCTACAGTAGTAGTCAATGTGGACAGCTTGGACGAGGCAGTCTGCATCCAGTTGTTTATACTTAGTAGGGCCTGGCTCAGCCGGTGGGTAGTGATAGGATGGGCCCGACTAGATGAGATCTCCGGGCCTGCTGATGTGGAAGGTCCAGGAGGAATGGCTGAAGATGTGGAAGGTCCAGGAGGCATATCAGCAGAAATGGAGGTAGGCTCAGCAGGGACCTCTACCACAACTGGCTCTTCAGACTGGCCAGTTGGGGCAGAAGTAGGGCTTTGTAGTTCTTGTCCTTGGGGTTGTCATTCCCCTTCAAGCTATACCAGGACAACGAGACTGTCGCCTTGACCTTGACGTCGTAGGGCTTCTTGTCCACCTCCAAGTCCCGAAAGTACATAGTGAGGGTGCTCGGGAAAGGGTAGTTCCGGTCATGCTCTTCTCCCACTAATGAGATAATGCGGGACATCACATTCCCCACATTTATGGGGTATCCTGCCATAATCGAAGCAACCAAAACAGCCCGGTGGAAAGGAAGGGTCTGGTCATGTGTAGTAGGATCCAACCGGCTGCAAACAAATGTCTCCCAACCCCTCGCCTCAAAGTTTAAGGTCCTCCGCAATATTTTGACCCCAGCAGTCAACCAATCAGGAACGGTACCTGGGATTGCCAGGTACTGAGCTAACCATGGACGGACCTCCTCGCCCATCTCCAACTTCACCATGTACAAAGCTTCATCCTCCTCATTGAAACCCAAGTATTCGTTGAGGTATTTCCCATCAAACAACACTGTCTTGTTGCGAACCTTGGTCACTTTGGAGCCCTTTTTGATGTGGGCTACATTGCAATAGAACTCTTTGACCATGTGTTCGTTGGCATCCACACAGTCATCTAAAAAGTACTCCTAACCCACTCTAGTTCTGAATTGTCTTTGCACGTCAGGGTTGTGGGGTAATAGATATTTGTCAATGAAAATCCGCTCCGGTATCAACTTTCTCACCGGCCACCACTCCCTAAATTTGTGGTACGCTACCTCACTCAGGAACCTATTTCGCCAAACCTCAGGCTTTCTAGTTCGGGAAATTCCTCCCACCTGAGGCTCACCACCCTCAGCTATCTCCTCATCCCCTTGTACCTCCTCCTCACCTCTGTCTGCACTCTCCCCGGATAATGAAGCTGTGGGGGAGGTGGAGTATTCACCACTGCCGGCTGCTGAGCCCTCAGACGACTCAGTGGGAACATGCTCTGGTGCTTGGGCAGTGGTTGGTGGTGGAGGGGTATCTCTTAGCCTAAATCTCCGGCCAGTCTTCAACATATTCTGGCACGGAGTCTGAAGAAATTTCCCTGGATGGTTGATACTCACTCCCCGAGGAATGGGAAACAGCTCTGTCTGCAGCTTTGATTAGTTTTCTGGTCTTTTTTATGTTTTCCCGAGCTTGGGGAGTGAGTTTGATCATCTTCTTTCCTTTGCCCCCCGGGAGGATTCACCTTTCCCGGGTTGTTTTGATCCTTTTCCTCCTCGTTGTTTAACCATTGTCTGCAAACACAATTCAAATCACTTGTTAGTATCAGTGGGTTCACATAAAACAGTGTTGCAGACAAATGAAAATGTTGCAGGAGTGGCCAAGTGCGGACTTCACAAAATGGTAGTGCGGCCGCACTGAGGCCACCGCGGACCGCACAAAAATGACCGCGGTCCGCACAGAGGTGGGGGTCAGACTACCCACTCTCTGTATTCAGGCAGTGCGGGCCGCACAAAATGTACCGCGGCCGCACTGCCCAAAGTTCAGATGTTCAGCTTCCACCATCGCGGTCCGCATAAAATGGTATCGCGGACCGCACTGGGACACCGCGGACCGCACAAAGTTGACCGCGGTCCGCACAGGGTACCCAGTTTTGGCACTAAACTAGGGTTCATTAGATTTTGCAATTAAGGTCAATTTGGTCCCTAATTTATGTCCCTAAATGTTTACCCAGTCTATTAAACTAACAAAGTATAGAAAAATCAAAAAGCTAACTAACCTAACCTAACAATTTAAGAAAATACGGGAGAAGGAGAAAATAAGAACTAAGAAAAATGAAAATTAACTAAAATTGACAAAATTAACAAGTGAGATGGAAGATTGATGTACCAGATATTGAGATGAATTGAATCAAAGCAAAGCAAGCAAGCAATTACGATCAAAGAAGAGGATGAACAGTGTTTAATTACTCTGAGGTTCAAATTCGCGAAAAGGGTAAAAGGAGCCCCTCAAGGTCTATTTATAGAAAAAACCCTGGGGCCCATTCTCACTACCAGTGTGGACCGCATAAAATGAACCGCGGTCCGCACTGGGCTATTTTATTCCAGCTTAACTCAGTAACCCACCGCGGTCCGCACAAATGGACCGCGACCGCGGTGGTCCACCGTGGACCGCACCAAATCAACCGCGGTGGCGGTGGAAAACTTCAGAGAGCAATTTTGTCACCCTTAACCGGTGCGGACCGCACAAAATGGTAGTGCGGCCGTACTGGAAACTTCAGAGACCTGTGCAACTTGTCAATTATGTCCTGCACTGCATCAACTCAATCCTGTAACATCTCACAACCAGTTAGCCCAAAAATTCATCCTATACTACAAAGAAAATCAAAGAAAACAAAAAGAAAAACACATGGGTTGCCTCCCAAGAAGCGCCCGATTTAACGTCGCGGCACGACGCATGTTACCATCCAATCATTTGAAATGAACAACAACCACCACATGGCTATCATCAAACTTCCCAAGATAATGCTTGACACGGTGCCCATTCACTCTAAAGACTTCACCATTTTTGTTTTTCAAATCAAGAGCACCAAAGGGGGTCACCAACACAACTTCAAACGGTCCACTCCATTTTGATTTAAGCTTTCCCGGAAATAGACGTAACCGGGAATTGAACAAGAGAACCAAATCACCAACCACACTAAAATCATCCATAAAGATCTCCAAAATATCTTCCACCATGTCGGTGAAAATAGCCATCATGCATCGTTGGAAGGTCGCGGGAGCATTGCACAACCCGAACGGCGTCCGAGAAAAAGCAAATGTACCATATGGGCAGGTGAATGTGGTCTTCTCTTGGTCCTCTGGAGCAATTAAGATTTTATTATAACCCGAATATCCATCCAAAAAGCAATAAAAGGCTCGCCCCGCAAGGCGATCAAGCATTTGGTCAAGGAATGGCAAAGGGAAATGATCCTTGCGGGTAACCTTGTTTAGCTTCCGGTAGTCCATGCATACCCGCCATCCGGTAACCGTCCGAGTGGGAATAAGTTCATTGTTGTCATTTGTCACCACAGTCATCCCACCTTTCTTCGGCACACATTGCACCAGAGAAGTCCATGAGCTATCGGAGATTGGATACACCACACCTGCATCTAGCCACTTGATCACTTCTTTCTTCACCACTTCTTGCATTGCCTCATTGAGCCTCCTTTGATGTTCCAAGAAGGGCCTTGCATCATCCTCAAAAATAATCTTGTGCATGCAAAATGCGGGGCTTATTCCCCGTATATCGGCCAAAGTCCATCCAATTGCCTTTTTCCGCTTTTTGAGCACCGCCAACGTGGCATCTACCTGCATGTTAGTAAGACAAGAGGAAAGAATGACTGATAAAGTTGAATTAGAGCCCAAGAATTCATACCTGAGGTGTGGAGGTAATGGCTTCAACTCCAACACCGGGGGTTCCTCGATTGAAGGCTTTGTTGGAGGCGTCTTCCGATTTTTAAGATCCAAAGAAAGTTTCCTAGGCTCATAAGAATAAGAGCCCATCCCATGTAAAGGATTCACGCACTCCACTCGGCCCGCATCATCATTGATATCCAAATTCAACAATACGGCCTCCAAAGGGTCTTCAACATTGATCATTGCATTGGTATCATCAATTATCACAGCTGTGACTAAATCCACAAATGAGCACACTTCGGTACAATTTGGCTGCTTCATTGACTTGCACACATGAAACACTACCTTTTCATCACCTACCCTGAAAGTGAGTTCCCCTGCTTCCACATCCACTAGAGCCTTCCCCGTAGCAAGGAAAGGTCTCCCTAATATATCGGGACCTCATAATCTACCTCACAATCCAATATCACAAAATCAGCTGGCAAGATGAATTTGTCCACCCGGACGAGCACATCATCAACAATACCCAATGGTCGCTTCTTAGATCAGTCTGCCATTTGTAGTCGCATGGAAGTTGGCCTCGGAGGCCCAATACCCAAAGTCTTGAAAACTGAGAAGGGCATTAAATTGATGCTCGCCCCAAGATCACATAAAGCTTTGGCAAAGTCTGTAGTACCAATAGTGCAGGGGATAGTGAAAGCACCAGGATCCTCTAATTTTGGGGCCATTGAATGTACTATGGCACTGACTTGGTGGGTCATCTTGATAGTTTCACAGTCCATTGATCTTTTCTTTGTAACCAAATCCTTCATGAATTTAGCATAACCAGGCATTTGCTCCAAAGCCTCCACCAGAGGCACGTTGATGGATAAGCTCTTCATCATGTCGATGAACTTTTTGAATTGATTCTCACTTTTCTGCTTGGCTAGCCTCTGAGGATAGGGGGAGGTGGCCTAGGCAAAGGTGCCTTGGCTTTTGGCACAACCGGCTCCGGCATGTCAATTACGTGCTCCCTAGACGGGTTCACGGCCGATTGAGTTTCCACCTCAGTTTCATTATTGTCAATCCTCACTTCATTGTTCACATTGTCATCAACCACATCTTCAACTACCAAAGGAACCACATCCTCTTGCAACTCAACATCATCATCAACAACTTGCTTTTGTTTCGAGGCATTCATATCACCGCCTCTCCCACTTCGTGTTGTAACCGCCATGATATGATTGTTCCCACCCTTTGGGTTCACTACCGTATCACTTGGTAGAGCACCATTCGGGCGAGTATTCAATGATTGAGAGATTTGGCCTATTTGCACCTCCAAATTCCTAATTGAAGTATTGTGAGAAGCCAATTGCGCATCAGAATCCGCAGTCTTTTCATCATTTGTTCGAACATCATTTCAATTCTACCCATTTCATTACCCGAAGAACTAGGACTTTGAGAAGGGAAGGGGGTGGATTGTTTGGTTGTTGGTACATTGGGGGCCTTTGAAAGCCTTGCCCCCGGTTTCCTTGGTTCCCATTGTTCCATCCACCTTGATTGTTATTGTTGCCCCAATTGTTGTTATTACCATTCCAATGCCCTTGGTTACCTTAATTGTTGTTCTGATTGCCCCAGTTGTTGTTTTGATTATTGTTCTCCCAATTACCATTGTTTTGTTGTTGATTGCCCCAATTGCCCTGGGGTCGCCACTGTTGTTGGTTGGAAGAGTTGCCCCGTTGGCCTTGAAAATTGTTTACATATTGTACCTCTTCATTATGCTCATCATAGCCATCATTTTGAAACCCATCACAATCATCATCAAATTGCTCAGAATTCCCTTGGTTTTGTTGCCTTCGTTGCCTTCTCTTGTTAACAAGCATATTCATACCCTCCATGGCATTCACTTGGCGAGGATTTTGGACTTGTTGCAACTGTGCCTTAGACAATTGGTTCATAGTAGTTGTCAACTCCGCTATAGCCTGTCCATGGTCATGTAGTTCCTTATGCAAATGAATAACCGTAGGGTCACCTTGAGGAACATTGGCCCTACTTTGCCATGCGGAGGATGTATCTGCCATCTCATCAAGAATCTCACAAGCTTCATCATAAGTCAACTTCATGAAATTACCCCCAGCCAATTGATTGATTATGCACTGATTTGTAGTATTGATGCCCCGATAGAAGGTTTGTTGGATCATCGCCTCTGTCATATCATTATTGGGGTATTCCTTCACCATTTTTCTAAACCGCTCCCAATTCTCATGCAAAGGTTCCATGGGTTCTTGTTTGAAGGCCAATATCTCATCTCGAAGTGCCGCCATGTGCCCGGGTGAGAAAAATTTAGCAATAAACTTATCCGCCAACTCATCCCAAGTAGTGATGGAATGGTTGGGAGTCTCTCCAGCCAATCCAATGCTTTCCCCCGAAGTGAAAAAGGGAAAAGCCTCAACCTAAGAGCATCCCCGGACACATTCGTCTGCTTGCTACCCCAACATGTATCCACGAACCCCTCGAGATGTTTGTAGGCATTTTGATCCGCAGCGCCCGTGAAATACCCACGCTGCTCAAGTAAAGTCAACATCACATTGGTTATCTGAAAATTGCCCGCCCGGATTCTCGAAGGGACAATAGCACTTGCATAGCCTTGGTTCGGTAGCACCCGAGGAACCACTCTTGGAGGTGGCGGAGGAGGGTCTGGAACGTTGTCATTAGCATTGCCTGGCGGCCTCGTCGTGGTCTGGGAGGTACAAGAGGCACCTCATCGTCTCCAATATCCTCAACCTCCTCCCCCGCAAGCACATTTCCAAGAGGGTCATTTGCATTTAAAGCCATTTTGGTACCTGTAGTATTGACACACGCAAATTAGTAATAAAGAAGGAAAGAAGAACAACACACAAAACTAACTAAATAGATAGCCAAAATCGTTACCTCCCCGGCAACGACGCCAAAAAGTTGATCGCAACCAACTCCGCACTACTAAAAAGTAGCAAGAGAGGGTCGCAATAACTTTTACCCGATTTTGGGTCGGGATCGAATCCATAGAGAGCTAGGATTGGAATCGAGTATCTATCTAGTTTAGGATTGCGTATGTGTTCTTAATTGGTCTCTATTCATTTTTGGTTTTTCTTTATATTCTACTATGATCAAACTACAAATTGTAATTGCAACTGAATTAGACTAAGAGAAAATTGCTACAAGTTGTATCTAATGGTTTAAAAGGCACTAGGGTAGTGACTTTCACCTAGGTGGCTAATTGACGGGTAATTGCATCTAAGGCACGATTGACATGATTGGGGAAATATGTTATAACCGTTGATCGATACTACCCACTCTACACCTCTCGGTAGAAAGAGTGGTTTTGCCCAATTGACTCTCTCAAGACCAATTAGGTATGCATATTTGCCCAAGCAACTAGGGTTCAAGTCGGGTAATTACTCTCTCGAGATTTAACCCTTTAATTGGGACTATCAAATCTCTTGAGTCCATCCCAATTCCTTGTTGAATCAATTTTGGAGACTCAGGCTCTCTTTCTCAAGAAGAGCCCAAGTCAACATAGCACAAACTAGTGTTTGCAACCACTAATTCATAAATTAAACCATAAAATTGACCCAAATAACAAACACCCATGGTCAATCTAACCTTAAATCACAACACCCATCAATTACCCACACTAGGGTTGAGCCACAACCCTAGCTAATGGGTCTAGATACTCATGCTTGAAGAGAAAATCAGAGAAATAGATGAAGAGAAAGACATATTAATTAATTACTAAAGTAAATACAAAGTTTCAATGATTAAAACCACGTAAAGATGCCAAAAATGGCTAAGAAATATCGTCTCACGAGCGCAGCTACAGTATTGTAATATCTGATACCCTAAAAATGGAAAAATGTTCTATTTATACTAAGCTAGAAAAACTGGACAAAATTGCCCCTGCGGGGTCAGTGTGGACCGCACAAAATGGTGTGCGGCTGCACTAGGCTCTTGACTCTGAAAAATCAACTCTCTGAACCCAGGCTCCGCGGACTGCACAGAATGGACTGCGCGCGCGGAGGCATCTAGCGCGGTCCGCACAAACATGACCGTGAACCGCACAAGCTTGAACCTTGGCACTTGATATCTCTCTGAAGTTTGCTTCCGTGGACCGCATAAAATGGTAGTGCAGCCACGGTGTCTTCAATGCGGCCACACAATATCTACTGCGGCCGCACTGCTTTGATGCCTTAAAATCCAGGTCTCTGAATCTCCCTAGTGCGGACCGCACAAAGTGTAGTGCGGCCGAACTAGGCCTATTTGTCCTGAGTTGTCTTGTCTTTGGTACTTGTGCAGGTTTCACTCCTTTGAGCCGATCTTTGACATCTTATCACTTTGTTGATCAAACCTGCAATCAAGCACAACTTATGAGCCTTTTTGGGACTATTTTGTAAGAATTTATAATCAAAACGTAAGCAAGAAGGTGCATGAAACACGTTAAAATCCCTAGTTATCAAGCATCGTGGCTCATGTCGAGGGGTTTTTGAACGTATATACGTACCCTTTTACCTTGGGCCCTCTTTATAGGTCGTGCTTGAGTTTTGTAGAACACTACTAAAGTAATCAGGTTTTAGCGACGGACAAATTCTGTAGCTAAATAGAAAAATTCGTCGCTAATCTCATTTAGCGACGAATTAGCAATGGATTATCAAGAAATTATGTTAGCTATGAGCAGTTTAGCGACAGATTAGCGACGACGTTCGTAGCTAATTCCAGTTTTTTTGTAGTGGAAAATATCAGCCCTGGCACAGGGTCACCCGTCTTTTTGGAGGATAGTGCTGATGACAAGGTACTTTGCAGATAAAGCCGGGCTCGAGTTCACCCTCAGCCATCTTATTAGATTGTACCGGCCCTTGCATTATTGGGGCCTGATTACCCTGCAACGTCGGTACACCCGGTCCTTTCCTGCCAGTAATGAAGAGGATACAGACCGAGGGTGGATGAGTCGATTCGTCTGAGTGCGGACTGTCGATATTATCCCTGCAGAGTTCTTGCCATTTCCTAAGAAATGGAATTTCACACGTAAGTGGTACACTCGTGTTGTTACTATTTTTGTCCATAGTGGAGGTGGGCTCCGTAAAAACATTTTCTTTTTCTTTTCTTCAGTAATCCCGTGGCTGCCATGCGAGGTTCCAGACTTGGGGAATTGGTCTCAGAAGCTTGCAGCCTGTTCGACTCATGATGAGCGTAAGTGGCGACACTTGTCCAAGGGTAGATGGGAGGCAAATCATCACGGTACGTGCTGTGTGGCTTGTTTTCTTAGAAAGGTACTTTCTTTTGTGTGTACTAACTCTGTCACCGCATGCATCGGAGAATTTTTCGAGATGAGATCGTGCCCCCTCAGGGAGGAGGAAAGATCATCAGCTTTGGGCCGAGGGTTAATAACAAACGGAAGGAGTCCTCGACGGACGAGGGTGTTCATAGCGAGGCAAGCCCTGCTCGGAGGCTCAAAGAAGATGTATCAGTTGAGCTCGCGGCATCTGAAGCTTCTAGCTTTGGAAAAATGGTTCCTCCTCTGCCGCCGTCTTCCTTTCCCGTCGAAGGTACTTCGAGGGATAAAGATTTTCTGCCACCTCCTTCTTCTCCTGCCGAAGGTACTTCGTGGGAAATTCGAGGCCAGGGGATGCCCAAATCGGGCAGGGTATCGAACGATCGTGTTCCCGTCGGGAGTGGTTCTTCTGGGGCCGATGAGACCAGGCCAGTAGGATTGCGCTCAACCATTGATGAGGCTCAGCGGCTCTGTTCTATGGTGACTTTTTGGTCGATTGTATTGGCTTTTCAGCTTTGTGCTCTCATTTTCTTATCGAGCTTCCTTTTAATAGGCCTTTGACAAGCTCAAGTCTGAGCTGCTCCGCCGTGAAGCCAGGTTGCAAAAAGCCTTAGAAGAGGGGAAATCTCTCACGCTTCTTTGTGATAAAAGGGCAAGGGAGCTGGTATACCTGCGGTACGAGGCAAGTCGAAGCCGGAACTACGAAAGCTTTCTTGAAAGACAGGTAACCTTTGTTTTGAGGGGATGCACATTTCTTCTCTTTTCTTCGGAGATTAATATTATACTTTAGTTG